TTTTTGTCTCAGGGTTTTGTCTTTTTTTTTTTTTTTCCTGGTCGCATTCCTCCATCCTTCATTTTATTATTATCATTGTTATTATTATCATTGGAATGAACAGTTTCCCCGTCTGCGTCGTTTCCATGCCAGCATGGGAACCACCGTGTCCAAGAGGAAGAATTTAAGGAACGATGCGATATCCTCTGTGGCAGCAAAAGTTAGGTGAGTGGCCCTTTGTCACCGGTCTATTGCACCCAAACGAGGCGGGCTGGCAGGTGCTGAAGCATGCAGGTGTGACAGCTGTGTGTTTTTGATGAATTGCCACTGCGCTTTCTCGCATGGATCCAGCCAGTCAGCCCGTCGCCATGCGCGCAGAGTCCCTGTCCCGTCTGCAGCCTGGGGCGTGAAGCGGAACCAGTAAGAGCTGGTGACAAAACTGCAAATGCAACCAGAGATCATATAATATATTTATTGGCTTTATGAACAGATTTTGATCGGCAGAGGATTTTTTTTTATGATTATTTTTGCTCCAGGCGCGTTGTTTTGAGCATCATTGTATAACCAAAGTCATGCAGAAGGAGAGCGAACACTTAAAGGAGCTATGTGTGTCCGCTTCACCACGGTGCAACAATAATGAGCCTGCCATCCACCAATTAATCAATTAATCAATCAATGCCGTCATGCACTGATCATCCTTTCCCAGTCCGTTCACGCGGAGCGGGTCGCAGAGGTTGTGGTGAGTAACCCCCCCCAACCTGTAAAAGCATCAGCGTTCAGACTGTTTGGCAGCAGTCCAGCCCGTTAAAAGCTTAACGACTCGCTCTGGATCCATTTTTATTTTGATTGTAAACAGAACCACTGCAGCCAGACATGAATCAGATCCATGTCCCCGTGGTGCGTTCACGACTCCGAGTTGAAGCTGCAAAGCACGTGTGTCGCCTGTAGTGTTCACGTATGACTTCACCCACTTCACCTCGGGGTGAGGTCGGAATTACAGCAGCGTGTGCGCCCCGGAGGTCCGGGATCGATGGGGACTTATTGGGATTCAGTCAATGGATGACCTTCATCTACAGATGTGGGCTGATGTGCTATTATTACGTCATTCCTTGTGCGTGTTGATGCCCATGGAGCAGCTTATGTGTGTGTGTTGCCTGTGCGTCACTGGAGGAGAGGGTGAGGACCAGACGATCCGCTGCTTGGGCAGGTGGTCTGTTGTAGGAGAATGTGTGAGGAAGAAGCTGCACTTCCTCCTGCTTCCTCCAGCCACAGAGGAATTGCAGAGATTGTATCTGACACAAGCAGCAGCACACGCACACCGGTTTTCTTAAACACTGGAACATATACTCTATTTTTTTAAAGTAAAAAAAGGCTTAAATCGAATATTTTATGGTTTTTCACCTGCATACAAAAAAGACAAATTAACAAAAGTACAAGAGAGAAAGAAACAAATCCAACATGTAAATTCAGTTCAATTCAAATTCAGTCACAATGAAATCAATTATTATTAAGTTGCGACACACAGACATCATAATGCCAGTTAATAAACATCATCTGGCTCAGAATACCTGCAGATCGTGTTGGATCTTCCCCTTATTGCAACCCTCCATCCAAAGACAGGCGAAGGGATAACTCCCCTTTAAGAATGGTAAATGGTGACTGTACTTATATAGCACTTTTCTATCTTATCAAGATACTCAAGGTGCTTTACACTACAAACAATCTGTACCTTCATTTACCCGTTCATTCAGCACCTAAACAAAGACCGATCAGTTCTTTATCACATTCATACACCGATGAGACACACGTCAGAGGCAACGAGGGGTTCTTGTCTTGCCCAGGGACACTTCAGCATGTGACTGCCGGTGGATTCAAATCCCCAGCTCTTGCATTGAAGGACGACTCAGCCACAGCCGACCAAAAGGAAAAACCTCCACCAGAACCAGGTTCAGGATGAGTGGTCATCTGCCTCAACCATGTGAGGTTTTTGAAGGAACCGCAGAAGAATTGGTCCAAGTGGAGTTTCTACGGGAAGAAAAACAGGAGCAATGACTGTAAATACAAACATGAAGAGCAGAGAAAGTAAAGACAGCAGCAGAGTGGGGGAATGCGGTCAGTTTCCCCCCTCATGCAGTATAGGTCTATGGGATAGCGCAAGAAACCCAAGCTAACTATAGGATTTTTGGAAAATGAAACCCTTAAGCCTGCTCCTAATGAAACATAGCCTCATGCACAAAAACTGGAAGTTGGTTCCACAAGAGAGGAGCCTGATAGCTCAAAGCTCTAACTCCCATTCTGCTTTTAGAAGCTCTAGGAACCACAAGTAAACCTACATTCTGAATGTGCAGTTGTTAGGAAAAAATGAAAAAACAAAGTGTGGAGCTCAGTAGTTGAGAGCTTTGCATGTTAGAATAGAAACAAGATTTAAAACTTTATTCTGAATTTTACGTGGAGCCAACAGAGAAAGAAATTATGTTTGACACTGTTGACAAGGCTTCAAATCAATGGATACTTTAAACGTTATTGATGTTGTTTATAATATCCATTTTAGTTCATTTACTGCCAACTATGCATCATACTTGATGCCAGATATATGGAAGCAGCAACAGTTCTGAAATTAAACATTAGAAAAAACATTTTTTTACCATATATTGACATGGCTGAATGAATTTTATCAGTTTGCACTAGATGACAATAATATAACAGTTATGCTTAAAGTCAAAGTTTGAATTGCACGATGCTGTTAATAAACAGGAAGTTCATCAATGCACGTACTTCCAACATATTATTAACGCCTTCTTACCCAGTTCCTCTCACTTACTTTATCTCAAACTGCAGAATAAACATGCACCATACATGAAAGTCACAATCATTGTTCTTTGCCAGTTCTGAACATCTCATGCATTTTTTTAAAATGCTGAACATTTTTCTTGCATATTCTAATATGCACTCTAGCCTTTTGAATGTATATTTTTATTTCCATTTTTTAAAACTGCGTAGATGAGAAGCTGATATTACAACAAAAGCACTGAAATACCCAGACCATTCCAGTATGTTGATAATAAATGTTTATTTATGAAACATTTATCCAAAAAAACTTGCATTTTTGTGAAGGGCAGACTGATAGTTTTACTTAAAGTATCAGTATGTATTATTTACTGCCATCTAGTGGTCAATGTGGAAATAGGGGCCATTTTAAAAGTTGTCCAGCTGCAGTTTGTGTTTAAATTGACAAGTTAAATTACCTGTCTAGGAAAAACCAATCAGCTTCAGTGTCTCTGCAGGTAATCCTGCTCTTGATCAGCCTCTTCTGGGGAAAAGTTACTCAAATATTTATTCTTGTTTTGTACCTATGCCCATCCTGAATTAGCTTTGCCTCCTTGAGTTTCCTCTTTCTGTAAAGAGGTCAGTTCGAGTGTCACTTCATATCCTTGCATTATTTAAGAAGTATAGTCATCCATTTCTCTAATGTGTGCCCTGAAGCGTCTCACTAAACTGTGTTCTGAGGAAGGGAGAACAAGCTGATGTTCTTCTTTTGTTCATCACAGAGCTGTCGGTAATGCCTTTTCAGAAAATATTGATTAGAGTATTGGTTCTCAAAGTTGGGGTTGGGATCCTACTGAAAAGAAAAGCAGTGGTCATAAATGAATAAAAAAAAAATACAAAAACTCTTTGTTGAATGACTTAGAAGTATTGTATTTTTTGCCCTATAAGTATCAGTTTTTTGCATAATTTGCATGCCCTGCAACTTATACGCTATAACAACGTATTTATGGATTTCTTCCCGTATAATAAATCAATTTTGGGCTGAGATATGACCGTTTTCATTCACTCTGACTGAAAATATTGAACACAACCATTTTCAGCCACTAGGTGGCACTCAAGTAGTATAGCATGCCGTTGTTTTGTGTAATAGGTAAAAGTGGCTATTAATGACACAGTCAGCTTGCCATAGCCTGCCACCTTTGTTCTGCTCACTGCTTGGAGCAACCGTCTAATCAGCTTCATTTCACTGCAGCTAATTTGACCATTAAAGTGTATTTATTAAGTAAAAGTTCAACTGAGACACACCTTTGCTATAATGTTGAGCAAACAAATAATTGTTTTTAGGTGTTTATCTTGTTAAATTTTGAAGAAATGAGCAGCAAATCGTCCCTTTGCGTGTGCCCGCTTCCGCGAATCAGGTTTCGAAATGCAGCTGATTTGACTGTCAAAGTGCATTTATTAAGGAAAAGTTAATTGAGCCACACCTTTACTATAATTTTGAGCAAACACATAATTGTTTTTAAGTGTTAATCTTGTTAAATTATTGTTAAAGTCCTCCCGTGCACGCTCCTTCGGCCACTATTTGGCAGCCAATCAATTTTTGGCACAAAACCGGCCCACATTTCCGGATTGTCAGCGGTGACGCGCAACAAACACGATGCAATAGATGCGACGTATACGGTGAAATGACGTATTTATGGATTTTGCCACTTTATTAGACATATTTGGACGGATGCAACTTATAGGGCGGAGCGACGTGTACGGCGGAAAATACGGTAATGTTATGTCAACCTAAAACAGTTGAAGCCATAAATCACTGTGACTCCTTTTTTGTGGATCATTTGCTGAACAGTTTGGGAACCATGGCAATGGAGCTGTTGCAGTTCTTGGTACTTGTTTGCTGGCTTCACTTTTCATCCATCAACTGGTTTCTGAGAGATTTAATTATGCGGTGAAGTGGCTGACAGACTAGTGCTGCCGTCCCCATTGCTATGTCAGCACAGAGTGCCGGACTGAAAAACACTCACGAGGATTATCACGGCAAGAAGTGACAAATGGTTTGTTTCACCTCGAGACAGTGGTTTCTGCGGGGACACAAAGCTAATGTGAATTAAAGACATAGCATTCCTTGAACAAAAGTTTATCCTCTGCTGCCTTTCAGGTCACAGTTTTTGTGGAAGGTCATCTTATGTTGGTTAAACTTTTAAAATAACATTATGTGCAATATTATATATAATACTGTAAGATGTTAGGGTTTGGAGTGTGTGTTGTGGATGACTTTCAGCTACTACCACACCAATTTTTAGCTTAATATCAGCAAAATTGACTGAGTTAGCCATTTTTGTGTCAGCTAAGATCCCTTTGCTGCGGGGGCCATTTTGAATTAGATTGCCTCCATAGGTTAATCAGATGGAAATGTCACCCCAGCGATTGCTTTCTGAAAGTTTCATTAAAATCTG